CAATATTAAACAATTTCATGAAAAAAATTCATAAGATTAACGATGAATGAGAGTAGTTTTTACGGTTTTTACAAATTGGAGTGATTTTCATTTGATCTATAGGAGCGATCAAATGAAAACCACCCTCATTTGTAAAAACCGTACAAACCATCCTCATACGTCGATTTCATTGTTTAATCTTATGAAATTTTTTCGTGAAATTGTTTAATCTTATGAAATTGTTTCATATAATATTTTTTTGATGAATTTGTTTCATATATAGTTATGAAATTGTTTCATATAATATTTAATGAAATTTTAATGAAAATGTTTCATGTATTTTTCTAAAATTAAAATAATGAAGATGATAATATCCATGATTAACACTCTCCACAATAAAAATGGTTAATCAACCTCTCATAATTACAAAAAAATGAACAAAATAAAAAATTATGATTTGTTGAATGAGGTTTTCATGGTTTTTACAAATTGAGTGGTTTTTATTTGAACGCTCCCCTATATATATATATATATATATATATATATATGGGTTGGGTTCACGTGAGACCAAGAGTTTTTTGTGAGACTTGTAAGACCAATTTATGTTCATTGATCAACTTTATAAACTAATGGTGTAAAGTTGTACGGTGGCAATTTTGTGATTATTGAGAAGTCTCGTGGCAATTTTGTGATTATAAATGTTCAGATTGTAAATCTAATCCAAGGGTTGAGAATTGATCTTACGGGTCTTATGAAAAACCCTTGATCTCACATGATCTCAAGTCTCTATATATATATTTGGTCATCAGCTATCATTGCCTCTACATCCACCACTATCACCACAACCGCCACTGACCACCTCCACTACAATCACCACCACCAGTGACCAATGTATAAAATCATTAAAACAAAAATTCGGGACAATTTATCTAACTCAATTTCTATTTGGTCCTAAATGTGCCAGCGGACATACAAAATAGTATGTCCAATCCAGTCCAGTCCAGTCCAGTCCAATCATATTTTATTTTGTATAATCATGTCATATTTAGTTTTGTCATGTTTAGTTAACTTTACACAGCGTTTTAAGTTTATTATAACATTTGTTCAAATAAACATGATTGATTTAAAAATTAAATAATAAAAACAAAGTATTAATCAAGAGCCATGATGAGAAATATGCATATGATGTTTGATGTATGAAGAGATGAGGAGCCTTGAATCAGACACCATATATACCCTTTCTCATCAAACCATTGACCTCTTTATTGTATGGCTCCCACACTCTTTTGACCAATATTCCTACTTCTATTCCTATTTTACCCCTCTGACTTTACTCTATACTCATCACACTTGTATATTCAAATAAGGATATAATTGCCAATAATACTCCCTCCCTTCTTCAACCTTTTTGTTTCTATTACCTATTTTTATCTGAATGCAAAGTACGTACATTTCGGGTTCTTGTATATTCATTCGGGCAATCTCGAAAGCAAGTAACAAAACAATCTTACGAGGGGTTCGAGTTCGACCTATCATTTTTGCTGAATGGGTAAACTTTTAGGGTGCGTTTGGTTTGCATGAATATTTCTGAGGGATTTGGATTCCCAGGAGGGATTTGGATTCCATGAGATTTGGATTGGATTTGAAATCCATTCATTTATGAATCATGTTTGGTTTGTAGGATTTGGATTGTGATTTTTTTTTTTTTTGTAATTATTTTAATCACCAAATCCCTTTCATTTTCTTAAACCTATCTATTTAACCAACAAACCTAAAATCAAACTTTTTCATCCAAAATGCATATTAAATCAACAAACATGTTAATCCAAAATACATAACTCATAACTCTTGCCACTCATTCAAATATTGGGGACCTTGCAGCATTGGAGTTCATTGTTGGTGCATTGATGTCTAAAGGGGATATCTCTGCTAGTACGGTATGGCCCTAAGTCACCGATGGAACATACTTTTGGTTAATCTATGCAGCAAGCACTACGCATATAGAATTTATAACTTATGGGTCCTGACTCATAGTAATAAGGATGAAATGTGTTCAGGATATCTAAATGATGCACATACAAGGTAACTCGAGTGTAGGAAGATGTAAATAAATCAATAAAATACTACAAAAGGGGAAAAGGGATTTACCTGTTGAGTGATGGGAGAAGGCGGCGAAGAGGAAGAAGGGTTTATCGGCGGGTGAGCTGGGAGAAGAGGAAGGGTTTATCGGCGACGACCACAGACGGAGACGGTGGGCGACGGAGACGGTGAGCGACGACCACCGTAGGAGACGGCGACTGCGACGGATTGGAAATCCTACCATTCCTACAAACCAAACACAAGATTGGAATGGATTTCAAATCCAAATCCCTCCAATTCCATTTCATTCCTGCAAACCAAACGCACAGGTGTGTCAAAGGTTTTGATTTGCTATAGTTGAATTTTATCGTTTCGACGGGTTTTTGGAAGTCTTTTTGTTGATTTCGAGGAACTTTTCGGTTTTGTAGTTGACATTCCTTGTATTTTCTAGTATCTTGGAGCACTATTCAAAGTTTAGTGGGTTCACCTTCCATACTGTAAAAAAAATTCTACCAATGCAAATAAGATGAACAGGTGCATGGGACCTGCTTGGAGCTTAATAGGTCAATCCCTAATCTTATGTATTTTGGCAAAATTGATGAGTACTCGTGTTTCCTTACCATAAGCGTTGTATGCAATCTAACATTAGAGCATCTCCAACATATTTTTTATAACTAGAAGTGTACTCGCACAATACAGTGAGATACATCTTGAATTTAATGTTTAGTTTTATAATTTATCTCTGTCGATTTTAAAATGCAGTTTTATATGGTTTTGAGAAAATGATAATCTTTTTATTTGAATAAAATATAAATTTGAAAAAATACAACGATATTTGTATCAAATTAACAATTTAAAAGTTCTTATTTTTTTATAACTTTTAGTTACCTTTTTATTATAATATAATCTAGATTTAGTAACAAAGTAACTTATTTTAGATTTAATAATGTAATGTTTATAAAGATAATTTTTAGTTCAATTTTTATTATAATTTAATTTAATTTTTAATAACGAAGTAATTTATTTTAAATTTAATAATATAATAATTTTTATAACGATAATTAAATATACAGTATTAGGATAAAAATCAAAATTTAAATTATGTATTTTGTAGAATAAATCTTTATAGTTAATTAAATAGACTTAGGGGTTGTTTGTTTATCTCTTAATAGCTCCATTAAGAGGCAGACTCTGAATCATTAAAAGGTGAATCTTGTTTAGCAAAAAAGAGTCCGCCTCTTAATGGTTCCAAAACCCTCTGAATGGTTTTGTATCATATGCATCTCTTAACCATTCATCGTTCTAATTTCATTGTAAACAGTTACCAAACAATTATATTTCATTTTGAACTATATCATGAGAGCCTCTTAATCATTCTGATCACTTAATCATTCAGCATCAAATCATTCAGCAACTGTCAAACAACTCCTTAGGGGTTGTTTATTTACCTTTTAATAATTACATTAAAAGACAACCTCTTAATAGCTAAGAGGTGAATCTTGTTTGACAAAAAAAAAATATGTCTCTTAATGGTTTTAAAACTCTCTAAATGATTTTGTATCTTGGACATCCCTTAACCATTCAGCGCTCTAATTCTATTATAAATAATTACCGAACAATTATATTTCATTTTACACTATATTACGAGAGTCTCATAATCATCCTGACCTCTTAATTATTTTACATCAAATCATTCAACAACTGTTAAACAACTCTTTAATCTTAAAAAAAAAAAAATATTGAATGAGGATGGGGTCTATCAAATGATGTGAAGGATGAGCACGCCATATCTATGTATTTTTTTTTTCTTTTTCTTTCTTATTATAAAAAATGGTAAAAGAGCGGTTTAATTCTTTTAATTTGTATGATGACTCTTTTTGGCAATATTAATGTATTAAATATATCACAAAAAATTAGATTTATTCAAATATTATATATATCATATATATACATATATCACCTTTTGTCTCTTCTTTGTCAAGAAACATTGAATTTCTGCAACTCAGTTTTCCAATGCAGATCAACACATTACATCTCTACCTCTATGCATCCATCTTCTTCCACTTGGGTTCCAGTTTGGGTTCACCTTCCATTGCCAAACCAGACCCCTACACTTCATCGTCCGCCATTAAAACCGATTCTGAAGCTTTGTTTCAGTTCAAGAACATGATCGAAGATGACCCTGATGGAGTTCTCTCAGACTGGAACCTCAATATGACCCCATGCAAATGGCATGGAGTCACTTGCACCCAGGGTCGAGTCACTCAACTTGGCCTAACTGAGTCTGATCTGGTGGGTTCGATCACTTTCTCTCCTTTCTCATCTTTAGATATGCTAACTCTCTTGAATCTGTCTGAAAACCCAGATCTGTTCATCAACTCAACTTCTATATTTCAACTCCCATTTGGGTTAGAACAGCTTATACTATCCAACTCTGGAATCACAGGTTCCATTCCTGATAATTTTTTGGTCAAATTCAAGAATCTTGCTGTCATCAATCTTTCCAAGAACAATCTAACTGGTTCTTTACCTGAAACCCTTGTGTCGAATCCTGATTCGGTTCAAGTTCTTGATTTATCTTCAAATAGTATCGTTGGACGCATTCCTATTGCGATTTCTAACTACACCAATCTCAAGAATTTGAATCTGTCGTACAATTTGATCACTGGTAACATACCGATAGCTTTGGGGAATCTAAAAAGGTTACAGATTTTTGGGTTTTCGCATAATCAACTCACTGGTTGGATTCCTGAAGAGTTGGGTAACACATGTGAATCATTGCTAGAACTCGGGCTTTCTTTTAATAACATTACTGGCACCATTCCGGGTTCGTTTTCATCGTGTTCTTGGCTTCGGGTTCTTGATCTTTCCAACAATAATCTGACAGGTCCGTTACCTGATTCCATGTTTCAGAAAATGGCTTCTTTAGAACGATTGGTTTTGAGTAATAACAAGATTTCTGGGCCGTTTCCATCGACGATTTCGTTCTGCCAGAAGTTAAAGGTTGTGGATTTCAGCTCCAATATGCTGTCAGGAACCATCCCATCTGGGATATGTCCTGGAGCTGCTTCACTCGAAGTGCTTCGTGTACCAGATAATCTGATTTCTGGCGAAATACCCGAAAATTTATCGCAGTGTTGGAAGCTAAAAACGATTGACTTGAGCTTGAACTACCTCAATGGCACGATTCCGGCTGGAATTGGGAATCTAGAGAATCTAGAGCAGCTGATTGCTTGGTACAATGGATTGGAAGGGAATATTCCGGTGGAGTTGGGGAAATGCAAGAATCTGAAGGATCTTATTCTGAATAACAATCAACTCTCAGGGAGAATTCCAGTGGAATTGCTGAATTGCAGTAATCTTGAATGGATTTCCTTCACAAGCAATTCACTTTCCGGTGAAATTCCACCAGAGTTTGGCCGGTTATCGAGGCTGGCGGTGTTACAACTAGCAAATAACAGCCTGAGTGGTAAGATTCCGACGGAATTGGGAAACTGTAGCAGCTTAGTTTGGTTAGATTTGAATAGTAATAAACTGACCGATGAAATCCCACCTCGAATCGGTAGGCATATCGGAGCACAACCATTGATCGGAATTCTATCTGGAAATACTATAGTTTTCGTCAGGAATATCGGAAATTCTTGCAAAGGAATTGGTGGTTTACTGGAATTTGCCGGAATCCGCCCCGAAAGACTGTTACAGGTTCCGACGTTGAGAACCTGCGACTTTACAAGAATGTATTCCGGCCCGATTTTGAGCCTCTTTACGCAGTATCAAACTCTAGAGTATCTTGATCTTTCGTACAACGATCTTAGCGGCAAAATCCCGGATGAATTTGGCGAAATGATCGCGTTACAAGTTCTTGTTTTGTCACATAATCGATTATCCGGTGAGATTCCGGACACATTTGGCCACCTCAAGAACATGGGCGTTTTCGATGCTTCACATAATCGTCTTCAAGGTCCTATTCCAGAATCATTTACGAACCTATCGTTTCTGGTTCAGATTGATCTTTCCAACAACGAGCTAACCGGGCAAATCCCGACAAGAGGGCAACTCAGTACGCTACCAGAGAGTCAGTATGCGAACAATACTGGACTCTGTGGTGTTCCGTTGCCGGAATGCCGCACAATGAACAACCAGGCGGAGGATCCTGGCGGTGATGGGCGGAGATACAATGGTGGTGGTGGACAATCATCCGCTAAAACTTGGGCTAACAACATCATAATGGGAATTCTCATTTTGGTTGCTATAGTTTGTTTATTAATCGTTTGGGCCGTCGCTATGCGAGTGAAACGAAAGGTGGTTGAAGAACAAAAAATGCTCCAGAGACTGCAAGCTGCTCATTCGGCCACGACATGGAAGATCGAAAAGGAAAAAGAACCGTTGAGCATAAACGTGGCCACGTTCCAGAGACAACTGCGGAAACTGAAGTTTTCGCAGTTGATTGAGGCCACCAATGGGTTTTCGTCAGAGAGCTTAATCGGATGTGGTGGCTTTGGAGAAGTTTTCCGCGCAAAACTAAAAGATGGATCGAGTGTCGCGATCAAGAAACTCGTTCGCTTGAGTTGCCAGGGCGATCGTGAATTTATGGCCGAAATGGAGACCCTAGGCAAAATCAACCACAAGAACCTCGTACCGTTGTTAGGATATTGCAAAATCGGCGAAGAACGACTTCTCGTTTACGAATTCATGGAATTCGGTAGCCTCGACGAGATGATCCACCGACGCTCGATAAACGGCGCGTCCGACCGCAAGGTCTTGGGCTGGGACGAGCGTAAAAAGATTGCGAGAGGTGCCGCGAAAGGGCTCTGCTTCTTACACCATAATTGCATCCCGCACATCATCCATCGCGATATGAAATCGAGCAACGTGTTGCTCGACCATGAAATGGAGGCTCGTGTCTCCGATTTCGGGATGGCAAGGCTAATCAACGCTCTCGACACGCATCTAAGCGTCAGTACGCTCGCCGGCACCCCCGGGTACGTCCCGCCTGAATACTACCAGAGCTTCAGGTGCACCGCAAAGGGCGATGTGTATTCGTTAGGCGTTGTGTTCTTGGAACTTTTGTCCGGAAAACGACCGACGGATAAAGAGGATTTCGGGGACACCAATTTGGTGGGGTGGACGAAGATGAAGGTCCGAGAAGGGAAATCGAGAGACGTTATCGACCCGGAATTGTTATCGAGGGCCGAAGAAGGAGAGAGGGAGGATGTTAAGGAAATAGTGAGGTTTTTGGAAGTAACATTGCAATGTGTTGATGATTTCCCATCAAGGAGGCCAAGTATGTTGCAAGTCGTGACGTTGCTACGAGATCTAAACGTGCCTACAAATCCTGTTGCACGAGAGACGTAGTAAATTCTGATTTATTAATTAAGATTCGTGTTTTTATTTTGAGATAATTGAAGGGTTGTTAAATTTGAAGTCAAAGGCTTGGGTTTTGACTTTGAAATTCAAAGGGATGGTGATAAACGGGTAAAAGCCTTTTGTATTTTATAAATTAATTAATTATTATGGATTATTTATTTATTTATTTATTTATGCTACGATAATTATTGAAAAGCAAAATGGTTTTGCACGCCAAGGCATAATGATAATGATAATACGAATGATTTGAACTTTGAAGGGACAAGAAGAATGTTGAAATTGAGTGGTACTCGAAGGCGTGCCTTTGACCACATTTTTTTTAAATATCGTTTTAAATATGTTAATATTTTTAGTTATAGAGGAACGATTAAATGAAAATCGTCTTTATTTGTGTAAATTGTGTAAACCAATCTTATTTATTTATTTTTTTGATCGATGGTCAAGATTAGTTTAGTTTATTTTACGAAATTAAAAAATAAATATATTAAAATTTTATTTTTATATCAGCAATAAGGGCAAATATGTAAACAAAATACATATTCTCTAACATCCCATGAACCAGTTTCACCTTCATGAAACCTGTTTTATGTACATTAATTTTTTTATTTCAATCCTGATTTAATGAATTCATTCCATTATGTCTTACAATCTTCAATATTCACTAGCAGATTCAATCGCATCACAATATATCAAGTTCAAATTTTTATTATTATAATATAATTAAATATTTAAATGTTGTTATTTATAAAAAAAAATTTATTACGTTTCCTTAATTAAGATTTATTAATAATTTGCATATTTAATAGAAAATATTGTAAATGACAGAAATACTCTTATTGATTAAATTTAATTAGAAAAACTGGATTTTTTCTATTGGTCGAAATTAGTTTACACGGTTTCTTAGAAATGCACGGTTTTCATTTGAACGTGCCTCTTTGGTTATATATATAGGTGGAGGTTCAAACGAGAACCCTTGTGATTTACGAGAATGCAAGAACAACTTAATAACCTCAAACTTTTTTAATTAATAAATTAACTTATATTAAATATAAATAAATTAATAAGGACAGTAATGTAATTAAGTAATTTTTATAATTTTTATTTTATTTTAATTAGTCATAATTATCCTTTTTTTCTACACGTTCGTTTACACTCTCTTCTCTCCCCTTGTGATAATTGTGTGATTGTGTAACCATAACCTATCGAAACCATGATCAATCAAGTGTAACCATAACCTATCGAAACCATGAGTAATCGTTGTGATAAATGTGTGATTGTCTAACCCTAACCGATCGAAACCATGAGTAATCGTTGTGATAAATGTGTGATTGTCTAACCCTAACCGATCGAAACCATGATCAAATTCAGTACGCAAGTGATGTTATAATAGTGATATCACATGATTATCACACYCATATCACACCAAATCGTTTAGTGGATTTCGCCCGTAATCGTTGTGATAAATGTGTGATTGTCTAATCCTTACGTATCGAAATCATGAGTAATCATTGTGATAAATGTGTGATTGTCTAACCCTAACCGATCGAAACCATGATCAAATCGAGTGCGCTGTTATGATAGTGATATCACATGATTATCACACACATATCACACCAAATCGGTAGTCGATTTTTTAAGTTAATCCTTGCCGAGCGGAATCCTTATGATAATTGTGTGATAATCACATCATTATCACATCCAAATCACACCAAATCGTGTTGATATAAGCGATAATGTGATAATTGTGTGATAATCACATGATTATCACACCTATATCACATGATAATCACATGATTAACCGTTTATTAGATAATGATAATCTTGATCGTGTAATCGTGTTAAAAGATTTTATGATATCATTTCCATTATTACCTTTTTAATTTTAATATTTTTTTTGAATCTTTTTTAAATTTCAATTTTAAAAATCTTTTAGTTTTATTTTTTATCACAATATGATGTTAATGGGTTGTTCTCGCGTTCTCGTAAATTACAGGGGTTCTCGTTTGAACCCTTCCCTATATCTATCTATATATATATATATATATATGTGTGTGTGTGTGTGTGTGTGTATATGTATATGGGTTTAGGTTTAGGAGAAAATAACTAAAATGAAAAACTGAAGAATACTTTGAAAATTATTCATTTGGACGATATACATGTGCATACAAGTAATTTTGTAAACAATTTATCTAGTATATGCATATGTATAACATGCACACGTGCATAAGAACTAAAAATAACTTTCATTACTTGAATGTACATGTGTATATCGTTTAGATGATTTTTTACCAGAATGTTCTTCGGTTTTTGGAGTTTTCTCTAAACCTCCCCCCTCAATCAATCTCTTACTCTCTCTCTTTATATATATATATATATATATATAGAGAGAGAGAGAGAGAGAGAGAAGGGTTCAAATAAAACGATAATAAAATAAAAGAATACGAAAACATTGAAATCAAGTGCAAGATCACATGTGATTTTATACGTGATTTTAGTGTAAAAAAATCATATGTGATCTGACCGTTTTTATTTTCTTACTTAATTACTATTCTTGTATGAACTTGACTATATGTGGCTTCATATATGAATCCGTTAAATAGTTTACATGTGAACTAATTAACGGGTTCACATATGAACTTATAGTTCATATGTGTATCACACAGGTTCATATGTGAATCAGTTAATTAGTTCATGTATGAATCACAAGAGTTCATATATGAATTAGTTAAAGTAGTTCATATGTGAATTACACGAGTTCACATATAAACATATAAGTTCATATATGAACTCGTTTGCCGTCTATGTGTAAAAGTTATGAAACTACCCTCTTTATTTTTTGCATAGCCACAATTTTTGACCAGTTAAAATTGTAATTGTTGACTAGTCAAAACCACAATTATTGACCAGTCGAATTTGATTTTGACCGTATGAAAGGTTATGATAAATTATTTAATTCCCAAATACTTATTACTTCTCAAAATAACCTCATGTTATATATATATATATATATATATATATATATCTATATAGGGGCTGGTTCAAATAGAAACCAACCATATGGTACAAACTATGTGAACCGATCTTGATCGTTCATTTTATCATCAAACGGTTATTATTAAATGAGATTAAATAAACAATAATTTAATTAATGTATTAATTGATATGTGTATGAACAATTGTTCAAAGGGTAAATTAGTCAAATGGTCATTATTAAATGAGTATTAAAAAACAATCAATTAATCATTAAATTAATTGGGCTGCTTATGAACAATTGTTCACAGGGTATTTTGGTAATAAATCCTCACGCATCGTGAACCCGATATTCTCCAGCCGATTTGTAACCTACGATCGATTATGAACATATTCACAACTCATGTTCACATGTCGGCCCTATGCTCGTGTGAACAGCATATGTGTCTTGCAATGTAAACACTATGTTCATATATGTTCACATGTCGGCCCTATGTTCGTGTGAACAGCATCTGTGTCTTACAATGTAAACACTATGTTCATATGGTGTGATGTTTTTCAATGTCATACCGTATGACATCGTCACGGGTTCGTGTGAACAACGATTGTGTCTTTCAATGAAAACAAATTGTTCATATGGTGAACATATATGAACATAGACTGCAAAAGATGCACATATATGAACATTTTCAAAATCAAGGATCGTTGTGCATGTGTGCAGATATGAACATAGACTGCAAGTGTTTATCGTCTTCATTATTCTGACATTCTTTTACAATAGGATTCTCCATGTATCTTGAACGAAATGAAAATCTTGTACACTTAGACAATCAATTTCAATATATGTATAAAATCAATTGAAATGAATACCATGAACATGAAATAATAAAGAAATCATAAAAATCTCATGAACAATTAGATGTATCTTTTAAGATTTGTAACTCCCAATTAATTATTGGGGGTTACAAAAAGGTTGAATTACCAAATTACCCTTATTATTAATTTATAATTTAGATTTGAACCTAAAGTGAAGAAAGAATGTGATTGGTCAAGATCGGTTTCCATAGTTTGTACCATATGGTTGGTTTCTATTTGAACCAACCTCTCTCTCTATATATATATATATATATATATATAGACTTGGGATTATGTGAGACCAACCTGTTTTCGTGAGACCCGTGAGACCACTTTTTTACACTTGAAACTTTACAGTAAAATGCTGTGAATGTAACCTTCACAATGTTTTTGCTGTGAAGGTTCAGATTTTTTTTACCTTCACAATGAATTTGCTGTAAAATTTCAAGTGTAAAAAGGTGGTCTCACGGATCTCACGAAAACAGACTAGTCTCATCTGAACGCAACCATATATGTATATATATATATATATATGAAAACTCAATAATTTATTATAACCGTAAGATCTAATTTGAGCTATTCAATTATTGATATTAATTTTGTTTATTTAATTTAAATGTTGTATTATTAAACTAATAAAGCCTTTTAAATTAATTCTTGTTAAAAGTTTTTTTTTATAATCATTGATAGGGTTCCTATAACAACTGAAATTTTTGAATCCCTCAATTTCTCAACCAGTTACCTTCTTTGACTCTATCAAGCATTCAATCAACATCGCCCGTCAAAATAAAAAGATTTTGCTAACTATTTTCTGCCATAGACGGATTAAACAACGAATTGAAGATTTATCAGTATCTGTTTCTTAAACCTTTTGAGAAACCAAAAAACAATGAATTCCAACATCGAATGTGTCACAACTAGTACCACACTGTATGACATGGACAATGTTCATAGAGTGTATCATAGTGCTAATGTTCACAATATACATAGAGTTTACTGAGGGTATCACAATGGTAATGTATCACAACATGTTCACAAGGGATATGAGTTTGAAACTGGTAATGTTCGCCAAAGAGAGGAGAGATGAGGGATTACAAAAAGAATATTTTACCCCTAAATATTAATATATTATCCCTAAATTTATTTATTTTTTAAAATTAATGGATAATTACCAAAATTGACATTATTAATATTAAGCATTGATTATTAATAATGAGAGGTTGATATTAGATCTTACA